CTAGGGCGCAAAGTGACATGTTCTTTGTCACTTCGATCTTCATGGTGACGAGTGATACCTCATCACTGGTAGCGGCAACACACAGTGACTGTGTGTTGGGAGCAACCTTCGTCAGGAGTCCCGCGAACTCTCTTGGCGTTGCTGGATCAGTAGGGCGCTCCGCCCCTACTGACTCTGACCATTTTTAACGTTCCACCACGTCGTTGCGATTTTGCAGCAACGTGGGACCCACTTCTCTGTCCCTTCTTGGCAGACGGACGATTGTCACTCCCATCGTTACGCGACACTGGGCGTGGGGCACTACACTCATAAGCGTAGTGGCCCGTCTTTTGACATCGATTGCCCTTTTGCAATCGCTTGTATCCTGGAGAGCGAGGTCGATCGCTTTCTACATAGGAGAGGTCCATTGGTTCTGGACCTCCGCCCTCCTGTCGTCTTGGTGGACGATAGGAACCTGAGTGGACGTGAGCCTATTGCAGGCTAATGTCCTCCTGTTCCACTGCAGAGATCGCTTGATCCAGCGATTCTAGCTCCAAGAGGAGCAGGTGGGTCTTGACAGGACCATCTGTCAGACCCTTAATGAACACAGTAGCCTGCGTGTGTTCATCTATTGAATTAAGCACGATATAACGAACGAGGTATTGTGGAAGAGCGGCTAAACAAATTTCGTGGAGTGGAGATCGCGATCCAAGTTATGTGGACCACACACCCAGGATCGGTCGCGATCCAAGGCTGAGCGCGATCCGACTCAGAACCGCGATCCGAATTAGAACCGCGATCCAAGACTGACCGCGATCCAGATTCAGAACCGCGATCCGACTCAGAACCGCGATCCGACTCAGAACCGCGATCCGAATCAGAACCGCGATCCAAGACGGAGCGCGATCCAAGGTAAACCGCGATCCGACTCAGAACCGCGATCCGAGGCTGAACGCGATCCAAGACTGAGCGCGATCCCCCGACTCAGAACCGCGATCCGAGGCTGAACGCGTTCCAAGACGGAGCGCGATCCAAGGTAAACCGCGATCCGACTCAGAAACCGCGATCCGAATCAGAACCGTGATCCGACTCAGAACCGCGATCCGAGGCTGAACGCGATATAAGACGGAGCGCGATCCAAGGTAAACCGCGATCCGACTCAGAACCGCGATCCGAGGCTGAACGCGATCCAAGACGGAGCGCGATCCAAGGTAAACCGCGATCCGACTCAGAACCGCGATCCGAATCAGAACCGCGATCCAAGGATGAACGCGATCCAAGGTAAACCGCGATCCAAGGTAGACCGCGATCCGACTCAGAACCGCGATCCAAGGCTGAGCGCGATCCAGACGCGATCAGAACCGCGATCCGAATCAGGACCGCGATCCAAGGCTAACGCGATCCAAGGTAGACCGCGATCCAAGGTAGACCGCGATCCGACTCAAAATCGCGATACAACGTAGGTCTGCGATCCGACCTAGATCGCGATCCAACTCACAAGGATTACGCATTATGGATCGACCGCAATCCTGAGCTGATACGCGATCTGATTCGGATCGCGATCCAAGGATAAGGCAAGATCGCCGATGGATCGGGATGGCAAAGGCATTTGGGGTGGACCACATATCGAGATCTGATTTTTCCTGAAAGGGTGACACGTGGTGATAGATCCTGGACTACAGATAGGCAGAATTGTAGGTTTCGAGTTTTGATTGGTTAACACTAAACAGAGTTCAATTTTACTTCTAATACACGTGTCGACTTCTCTTCCGGGCTGGATTCTTTGGCCACCCGACGTCTCGAGGAAGCCTACACACTGCGCAAGTCATATCCCTGGATTGTTTGGCCAGGGATTGCAAGAACTCTCAACACAACTCAACTGCGATCGGACGCAGATAAAACACGTAGGGCAAGGCGAAGCAAGTGCAGGACGGATCAAGTGGTCAGAAGGTTCTGCTCAAGTGTTCAGAAGATTCAAGCTTCGTTTTATTGGATAACCGTGATCGATTGGGAAGATCACACCAAGTACTCGGTTTATCTTGTGAAGATTTCCACAAGATAACCAAACCTCCTATCCCTAACCCAATTAGGATCAACATCGACTCAAGTCCACCGAGAAAAGAGCAACCCGCCCTACCGACGGGTACACAAGGTGAGGAAGGCTTTATACACGGAATCGGGGTACCCCCTCCGTTAGTCGGTCGTCCGGGCGCCAGTGGAGAGTTGGAATCGCATCAGCAATTTTGCGAATCCCACTCCACCACAGTATCGTACGTGTTGGGCGTAAGCGTGTATATCACTGCATACCCTGTTTTAAATCCAAGAGCTCAGCCAAGACCTGAATTCGGCGCGAGGCGGTTCAAACGTGTGTCTGAGTCATACCTTGAAGACATCATACGTTGGAAAAACGTATGGATCATGCAGTTTGAGCCCTAGGGACCAATCTTTGGCACGTCCAGCCAAGTTCGACATGGCGAACTTGATCTTCATCGCATCGTCATCGATGCGAAGAGCTTCGATGATATCGTCTAGTTCGACGAACCATCTCAACAAGGAGTCGCTTTCGACTGTCTTGTTTTTGGAGACATCAATCTTTAAGGACTCGGGTCAACGTATATGCGTCGACCCGGCAGCAGCAGCATTTGCCTGCTGTTGTCTCCAACAGTTAAGACTGTTGAGCACCCTGCTGCATCAACAAGTCAGCTCGTTGATCGCCTTGTTCTCTCAACACGTCAACCTGTTGAGAACCTTGCTCCTGTAGCAAGGTAATTTTCTTTACAACCTCTTCAAGTTCAGGTTGTATGAACTTGGTAATGGTTGCATGTTGTTCGTCTCCGCTAAGAGAAAGCAACATGGCACCAACGGCAGGGTCGCCGATGGTTTCATCCATGCGCGGAACCGCATTTCATTCGAGATCACACAAATGGCGGAAATCATCACGCGTTGCGTGATGACGTTCATCATCCGCTGATTCCATAGCGATGGTGCGGTGTTCGCTGAACGGACCACGAAGTGCTACCAGGTGTAATGGGGCACCCTCCGACTATACTGTTATCAGTATAGTCTACCTTCACTGATGACAGTGAAAGCAGTTGCATCAATTACCTGATCAGAGGAAGTCAATCAACTAAACAACGCTTACTTGAGAAGGAAAAGAAAACTGTATTTAATATAGTTAACTATCTAAGAGAACTAATCTGTTATAACCTATGTTAACTATATTAAACTACAACTATGTATGTTGACAACTTGCCCTCCACTCATTGCGCGCGTCCATCGGTCATTGGTCAGCGCGTTGGTTGATATAATGACCCATATCAACCAATTAGAGGGCATCTCGAACTTCAAGGAGATTGAGGGACAATATTATAGGAAAAGATAATATTTTCAGATATTATGAGTTACAATGATACTTAGATTGACATTTCATATATGTGTCAATGTAATGTAACGAACACACCCCGTTACAACAACCATACCGAAATCCAAATGGCATTCCTCGAAAATCAAGATCCCAAAAGCTGTACAGAAGCGATGAGGACTCCTCAACAGGATGTGCAACGGGATGGAAAAAGAGCTAAACGCCTTGTCTGCTAAAGGAGTGCTCGCTCGGTTGGTGAGACAAAAACACTCAAGAGCGCAAGCAAGTTGGGGTTAATGCGTCAATTCAAATGTAGACGGATGATGACGGAGATTTCATCCTCGACTTGTCGGGTTAGGAAATACCCAAAAACCATGGATTGACTTTGTGAGCTCGTTCTCACCTGTAGCAAGAATGGTGACCTTTCAAGTGTTAGTAGCGCTGGCTACAAAACTAGGGCTGACGTTATAACAAGAGATGCTGACACTACCTATCTGAATGCTGGATTAAGAATCAAGCAGTATTTTTGCTCTGTTCCTGGATTCCGCTGCCGAAAGGAAAGATCTACCGTGTGGACAGGGCCTTGTACGGCTTACAGTCATATCAGATCTCGATGTGTGCTCCACACGGATTTCGGATCGCGATGATGAGAGCCAAGCTACGTAACGTATATATCGATTGTGAGGTAGGAATTACGCTCCAAGTATTGGCCTGTAGGAACACGAACACGGTACTAGCTCACCAGAGCTGTAGTGAAAGAGATTGAAACATATACTAGCAGAGAAAATTCACAGGATCAAGGACAAAACATAAAGGGCAAAGATGCGATTAAAACGAGGACGTGTACGACCTGGGCTTTTGTCGGACGAAGTTTGTAGTCATGGTATCAACATGCGCACGCAGACAAATTAGTTATAATATCGTTAGGTCTCGAATCGTGGTACGTTTAAAACCTCCCATCGAAAAAAAGGTCCTTGCTCAATAACTACTACGATCAATATATTTACTTTTTAGGATTGACGTTTGGATCTGAATCGCCCGAGGTAGGTATTTGACAGGAATTATCGCTGCCTGAAGATTAAAAATCTGGTACTTGAAGATCTTGTTTTTGACAGAGGTATTATCGCTTCCTGAAGATTATAAATAAAGAAGATGAATGTTTTTTTTTTTTTTTTTGGGTTTTTTGGAAAAAAAAAATTTTTTTTTTTTTTTTGGTTGGAAAACAAATTTTTTTTTAAAAATGGGGTTTTTTAAATTTTTAAAAAAATAATATTTTTTTTTTTTGGAAAAAAAAAATAACCCACCAATGGAGATTTTTTTTTGTTTTTAAATCTCTAACCCCACCTCAAGGGGTCTACCCATTAAAAACTAAAAAATTTATTTTTTTTAGCAAAAAAAATGTCAAGGTTATGTGCTTGCAGGCTAATTAAAAGAAAGCTCGTAGGTCTTCTGAACATGATAAAAATGCATTTCCGTGTCTTTCAAGCGTTTTGAAAGCAATTTGTCTATCTTTAATCGATAGATGACTCTACAAGTTTGCCAATTTTGTACCAGTAGGCAGGACACCGAGATGTCAGTCAGATGAAAAAAACTATTTCGAAAAAATACGTCGAAATCCTTAGCAGCGTCCATATTCGCTTCTTCAACAACCCCCGCGAAGATGCATCCGCATGTGGACAGTTCCGTCGGAGACGACAACCAGCAAGACGTGGGTAACTACATGATGGAGCTGGAGCGACTACTGCACGTCTACGAGCCGGGCAACGAAGCGTCGGCCGCGCAGTTATTGGAGACCTACGCGGGTATGGAGCATGAGCTCGTCGAGTGCTATCGCCTTTATTACGCAGGCATGGGCAGCTTTCGCGTAGCCCTGGATAGCAACCAAGAGGCCGGCTTTCAGCGGGCCTCGTCTTCCGAGCCACTGCATCTCCCCACGTCGGCTATTAGCACCTATCTGCATGCAAAGCTGCAGTCGAGACGGGGTGGCGCGGCCCGCAATGCCAAGCTGGAAGACGTGCGAAGACCCACGGCCGCTGGCAGCCGCAGCAAAAGGCGCCTTGCGACCATAACGCCCAGACGACGAGCCATCAGCTTCACGGCCAGCTTGCAGCATGAAGCTGGTGCTCGGAACGAAGACGATGAGAACGAGGACGAGGACGAGGCTGGCCTTATGCGCTGACGGGGTTCACTCGAGTAACGCTTAGGATGTCGACTCCTGACCATCAGTAGAGCAATGATGTAGCTATACCCCGGTACTTAACACGTTGACGGCTGCCCTGGCCTCACACCGAGTGTCTGAGCTTGTACAAGCAAGAGAAGGGGAAGATGATGCTGCTAGCACACTTTTGCACCTTAAAGACACCAGGATGTCGGTGGTGCCAGGCAAGTACTGAACAGGGAAGGACAAACGTGCACATGTTTAAAACAAACGTATTGATTGATGTCAGGTAATGCTAAAGCACTTTAACTTGATCAGAAAATGGTTAGGAAGAAGACTACGTTCACAATCCGACGGCTCAAACACTTCTCAGCCGCTTCCTCAAGCACGAGGAAACTCCTATCCATTACGGGTTGTTTCTATCTCTATTACAGCAAAGGAGTCCGCTGTACTTGCACTCGCGTTGTCAACTTCATCTCATAGTGCGCGACGTGCAAACAGCAGACTCGTTCACAAACTGCGCGTTGGCATGGCTAATCTCATAACATCTGCATCTGCTGTTGTTGCTGCTGCATGCTGTGCATCTGATGCTGTGGGTATCCGTTCGCCGAGTAATACATCATATTCTGCTGTTGAGGGGCTGGCTGGTCACCGGAGCTACTGGCAGCTGCTGCTGGCTGCTGCTGCTGGTTGTAGTATGCACGAGGGTGCTGCTGCTGACCATAAGCAGCAGCAGCGGCGGCTGAGTCTGCTGCGCTAAGGTGATGATGGTACTGTGACGACGGCGCGGAGTACGCGTGGTGGTGGCCAGGCTGCTGCGGTGGCAGCTGTTGCTGCTCCTTCACATCAAAATAATCGATCCTCCCGTCCGAATGGTGTTGCGACATTTCCGGCTTCGTTGTCCAGTGCTGCGAGTACGGGTTCTTTATTTGCTCCTGCGCGCCGCGCAGTGCGTATGCCTGACGATCCATTCCAGCGGAAGGTTTGTACATACTGCCAGACACAGGTGGCAGAGCGCTGTTGTCTGCAGACACGTAGTGACGAGTGGCGCCGCCCGTCTGCAAGCTAATGGGCTCGTAAGATCGCTGATCAGCATGGATCTGCAAGTACTGACCGGCGTTGGCACCTTCGTAACTCTTGTAGCGCATATCCATTTCAATACGCTGCTGCTGTACGTAAGCAGCGCGCTGCGCGTCGACTTGACCGGCTACGTGCGGGTCACGCAGATCCTTAACGCCCATTGCAAATGTCGGCGTGGTAATCTGTCGCATATCCATCATGTGCTGTGGCAAGGAAGATCCACTCACTCCAGCCGTAGTTAATTGGTCCTTAGGCAGCTTGCCCTTGGCCGCGTTTGCATGGTAAGAACACTTGCCCTTCTTGCGTGCAGGCTTGTTGCATCCTGCATGATCGCAGCGCTTGCCTCCGCCGTGTTCGGCACAGAAGCCTCCTCCACGATCATTCTTAGTGCAGTCCGGGTGCTGGCAAAAGCGACTGCCACCGTGGCCAGCACAGAAGCCACCACGCTGAGCGCCCTTGTTGCATCCTTCCTTCTCGCAACGCTGGCCACCGCCGTGCGCGCGACAGAATCCTCCCCCTTGACTGCTCTTGGTACAGCCCGGACTCTGGCAGCGCAGGCCACCGCCATGCGCCTTGCAAAGACCGTTGGACTGCGAAGCCTTCGTGCAGCCAGACTGCGTGCAGCGTTTGCCACCGCCATGGCGGATGCAGAGACCTTGGCCCTGACTGCTGCGCTCACAGCCGTCAACCATGCAGCGGCGGCCGCCACCGTGGGCTTTGCAAAGACCCTTGGAGCGCACGCGCTTAGTGCAGCTCGGCATGGTGCAAAGGCGATTAGACTTAAGCGACTCATTGCGGGCAGGCGACATCTTCACCGCAGTAGAGGAGGACGTTGAGCTCTGGGCCTTGGTGACGCTGGTGGGAGATGTGATGGCCTCAATTTTGGGTCGCGCGCTGGCAGAGGTGACGGGCTCCTTGGTGTGCGAGGTTGGGGCCGACAAAGTCGAAGACTTGGAGGCGCCAGAGCTGCTGGCAACCATGGAGTTGTGCACGGTCTGGTCATGCATCGCGCGCTCTTGCGTGTACTGTTGGTAGGCGGCTGGGTCGTAGTTAAAAGACTGCGAGGCGCCAAACGCAGCGTTGGATTCTTGTGGCTGCATGTCGGTTGTGCTTGATGTGGATTGGGACGTCGAGGACGCGAAGACGGAGGCCATAAAACTTGACTCCGGCAGAAAAAATACTTAGGCGGAGACGGGCACCACGAAGACGACGAAGACGGAGAGAGGAGTACCAACGGGCTGGTAGGAAACACAATGGTAAGCGCAGGACGACCACTCACTGGGACGAGCACCCCCTCCTCTCCCCCCTTCGCTCCTGCGGACAAGACGCATCAGCTATGCACAGATCGAAAAAAGGGGCAGCCGCAGCGGCTAGGGGAGCACCTTGATTGTGTCCAATTGTGTAAGCGCTCTTCAATAAGCACTGGCTGCTTCTTGAGACACGTATCAGCTGATATGCCAGTTAGTATCGGATCCTCGGCCAATTCATCTAAAAGTCCTTGTTTGCAAGCCTCCAAAATTTCTAATTATAGGGGCGGTACAGCGTCTGCATTAGCACTGCGTGGATGTAGCCGGAGCATCCGTCACCGCCCGCTGGTCGCTCGTCCAATCACGGTGTGGCGATGCGGTCGCAAAGGCACGGCTACCTTAGACACAAACGGTGCAGAGCCCCTTACGTGTCCCATGCCCATCTACAGAACGTTTTCTGGTCTGGAGATGCATGACAAGAGAGCAGACGAGAGATAAGCCAATCGTGGACCTTCCACACTCAATTGGCACACTGTGGTTGGTGAATTCTACACTACTTCTTCTAAGCAGGATTGGAAGATAAAGTTTGTGTTTGCGCATTTGGTTACAGATTATGCACCTTTACGCACTGTAAAGTGAGCCTCCAAACTGGATCTGCTCATTGATGATGTGTACTGCTTGCCTGGATAACAGCAGCTATGCTCCTGTACGATAGGACTTGTCGTCATAATAAGTAAGAGTCCTAATAATAAAGTAAGATTGGAGCGTTCTTCAAGTCTGCAACACACCCACATGTATACTGATCGTTACAAGGTGAAAATCGACGAGCTTCGTTTGAGCCTCAAACTACAAATAGGATTGTATGATGGCGTATTATGTCGACCGCCGAGACAGCGACTAAGGCTCGGCATTACACTTCAGAGTTGCAAGCGCGTTGGCCCATGTGACCTGCATGACGAAAAGAAGGGCCGAAAAATAATAAAGCTAACATTGACAGCGCATTTGTAAAGCTGAAGTACGAAACGGCGGGGCTAGACCGGCCATTCGTGCGCATCACGCCTGCGCGGGAAGTACCGCCGTATGTTGACACGGATAAAAAATCTAAGCCTCGCCACCATCTACTGCGCGAGTTGCGCTCGCCATGTCAATAAGGCGTGGTGTGTGCGGCAACTAGAAACAGCCAGCAAAGGTTTGCTGGCTTGATGTGCCACGATGAGATGACGAAGGCCTGGCTCTTGGCGTGTCGCATAGCGCCTGGCCTCTACGCACCAGTTGTTTTCGAGGACGAGCCATGGCTGCAAAGAAGCAACCACTGCCGAGACGTTGTGTTGGATGGCGTGTGCGTACACTCGTAGGATCTGCGCTGGGGATCCGCAGGTCCGTATTGCTGGCACACAGAGCATAGTCACAAGTGCTGCCGTTAATAGCGGCAGTATCCGTTGTGTATGCGTGGTCGACAATTGAGCTCGTCCATGTTTATTGAGACCGCAGCGAGCCTGGAGATGACGAACGAAGTCCACGTCGCCCGGTCTCCACTATGCAAGAGAAGGGCTTCGGTGTGTAGAAAGCGTTATATGGGTGGACCGAAGTGGTAGCTTGCAGGTGCAGGCTTCGTTGCAGCGGTATGATGCATCATTTGTTCATTATATTATATTATATCACGCGAATTATTACAACGTCGTGTGGCCGCGCTCTTGTTCTGGGTGGAGGAACCTACAGTGCCGCTGCCCGCCGCGCCTGTGCACGCCGGCTTCAAGCATGTGGCTCCTTTTTCTGCCAGAATGTCATATCGAATAATCACGCCGAGGAGACTCATGTCACGCAGGACTACATTGCCCGAGTCGCCACATGAAGCTCTCGATCTTTGCATACGGGTCAATGATCAGCTTGTCCTTTTGACAGCACATTGAGCAGCGACAAAACGAAGTGGTATCGAGAATGATCTGGGAAGTAGGCCTGCGGATGATATGCACCGCTGTCTATTGGGCTCGTTGTTAAAGAATCCAGGTTTAATATTACTGAAAAGGTATTCATATATGCACTGTTTGCTGATGGACCCATATTGCGACTCCTATCTTTTTTTTGTCAGGGATTAAGTATAAGTTACTGGTCATACGCCAAACCGTATTTTCTTCCCAAAAGACTATATTGGAGAGTCCATACATAGCTTTCTTTCCTACTTGAGGATAGTCAGCAATAATTTAGAATCAACATAAATACAATATTTCAAAGCATTTGCTAAACGAGTTTGTCGGACAGACCAACTTGTTGCTCATAAATGCGACGCCTGGTGCAGGCGAGAGTGCAAACTCCACAGCTACGAATTAGCTTGTCTTACTATAAAGATTTTGGACCTTTTAAGCAGATATTTCATAGGGGTTTCTGTCATGTCGTTCTTTCTTGTGTATTCCGTCAGAACCTGCCGAAAATCATAATTTTGAAATGGGTCGAACTTAACGGAAACCTAATATTGTGAAATATACACGTCACATTACAAGTGTTTTTCTAAAGTGAAGTCTCCACCACCAATGCTGCGGATACTTTACGCGTGCGATCTATCTGCAGCGTCAGCCGCTCGTCCATCGTCTTTCACCATTAAGCAAGTGTTATGTGCCACCTTCTCTTCCCCTGCCGCCAACCGACGCGCTCGGCGTGTGCGTAGAGCTGCAGCCATTGCTAAGTCTTCTACCCCAGACCCACGCGCACCATTTCTCGTCGCTGACATCGACCAACTCTCACGCAATGGCTTAGCACGGCGCGTAGAGATGCCAAAAGAAATGCTGGACCGATTGACTTCTGTCGTGCGTAGCCGAACGCACTCGCAGCTTGAGACGTTGCGGCAGAAGCACGTCGGCGACCGTCGGAATACACGTCAGCTGCCTCTGGACATGAGCAAGACGCCGATTGGCTGGTCTATGGATCGTAGTGAATTGATTCCGCCCTTTGCCTACGGACCGGCCGAGACGCTGGCGTACCTGTCTTATGAGCTAGAGGCCACGTACGCCTGCAGTCACGCCGTGTTTACAGAGCTGCAAAAGCGGCTGCCAAATTTTGAGCCAAAGTCAGTGCTGGACTTTGGTGCTGGTCCCGGCACGGCATCGTGGGTGGCCAAGGCATTTTACGAAAAGTCACTGGACAAGTACCGCGTCGTAGAGCCCAGTCAGTCCATGGTGGACGCGGCAGAAGTGTTGTTGGAAGACTTTTCTGGCCTTAGTATACGTCGCAGCATCGCTGACATGTCGAGAGACATTGATGCTGGAAACAAGTACGACCTCATTGTCGCGAGCTACGTATTTTCCGAAATTACTAATGATTTTGAGCGTGTGGCGACGACCTCGGCGTTGTGGGAACTACTGAGTGAGAATGGATGCCTGGTTGTCGTAGATCGCGGCAGCCCGTGGGGCTCACACCACGTGCGATCAGCTCGTCAGTTTGTGCTTGACTCGGTGGCGGAGAACGAGAGCGGAGAAGAAGGTGTCCACATTGTTGCACCGTGTCCGCATCACTTTGAGGTACTCTCGTCGGAACTGCGTGTACTGTGTCGTGTTGTGTTGACCAAACCTAATGTGTTTGTCTAATCTCTACAGTGCCCAGCGGCAGGAAGCACGTGGTGCCACTTTGTGCAGCGCTCGCCTATAGTAAACCGACCTCGGGAGGTCACGACAAAGCGTTGGCACGGTCAGAAGGGCTCCAAGTTCTCTTATATGATCATGCAAAAGACCCGTAAGGGAAGCGATGAAGGTGCAGCTGCCAGGATGAAAAAGCCAATTGCGCGCATGCTTCGCGCTCCTCTGCTTGCTACGCGCCATGTGCATCTTGACTTGTGCACTCCGGATGTACGATTGTTTGTAACCACTTTTACACTTTGAACCGAATTTTTACAACACTCTGTGTAGGGAAAGCTGGAGCGTCGTAGTGTTACAAAAGGTAAGGCTACTCGTGAGGTATATCGAGCATCGCGTAAGGCGCACTGGGGGGCACTGTGGCCAGCTGACTGGACTAGTTATCTGAAGGATAAGTAGAGCCGAGTTGTCATTTCACGGAAGATAATAGATGCAGGTGATCACAAGCTCAAAACGAACGCGCACGCAAATATAAAGGCTCGTAGTGTAGATAGGTTCTTCTTCGCGATCATTGTCTTCAATCTTTGTGGAATACGGAGGGTACGCGATAAACAATGTTTGAAGATGCAGATATCATCAGTCTCTAGCGTATCTATGCTTAGATCTGGGCAGGTAAGTTGACGACGACACCAGGGATGATAGAGATGAATACGATAAGGACGAGCCGCAGCCGCATTTTCAACTTTCGATGACACGAACATGGTGCTCCTAACGCTGCTATTCGCGAATTTCTTGCCGTATGTGAGGATTCAGTTGTGCAAATGATGCGTGCGACGACGCTGCCTACGTCTGACGGCTTGAGCAACGAACAACTTTTACATTTGGGTGCATTGAAGAAAAACTCTGACGCTTGTAGTTATGCTACAAGTTTAGTTACAATCGTAATGGACGCTAATCAAATGCCAGGGATCTGGTGTGTATAAATGTCTCGAGAAATTGAGCCGTCGAGCACCGAGTGCGCTTAGGTCAGGTGCTTTATCAAATGAGCAAGTTACATATCAAGGCAGTGTAGCACCCTGCTGCTATGCGAAGGCTGACTGTAAAGCTGTTTAAGTTGGTCTTGTTTCGGGACTTCGTGCACCTCGACGAGCGTGTCGGCAGCTGTCGTCATGTCTGCACAAACCCAAACAGGGAAATTGGGACGTTTGCTTGTCGACTTACATCATCTATCTCATCAAAGCAACGTCCGTAATCACCTTGTCCTACAGCCTTTGCACTTACGAATGACTGCAGCAAATACCAAGTATCGAAGACTGAACAGCTTTGTTTACCAAGCATTGTCGTAAAAGTTGGTTCTTTTTTCTTGCATTTGATGTACTCTTCGCACGCATCATCATCACCTTGAAGCTAGGCTAGCTGCGCAGTATGTGCCTAACCAATTCTCTTCATCGTACTGACGCTGTTTTTCCCCTTCCTAAACCGAGGGTCCTACCGCGTCACTCCGTTATGTCCATACTCCTGTCCGTCCGCATTCACTTTAAAGTCACTTCAACGTGCCTAACCAAAAGCTCGGGTTGTTGAACTGATGTAAGGACCTCACTCTTGATCAATCGTCTTTAACGTTTACTGCAGCTTGCTGGCAACTGCGTCCACGTGCGGAACGGCTGACAGCTTGCCAATGGCAGCCACAGAAGGCGTCGCATTCAGTGCCTTCTGAGCCAGCTCCTGCAGCTTAGCAGCGGTAACATCCTTAACGAGCTCTGACGGCGACTTGGACACGAAACCAGTCGTGGCAACTAGGCCGATGCGGCCCAGAGTACCTGCTTGGGTGCTGTACTGTTCCAGAGCATCGAGAGCCGCCTTAGTCGTAGCGGTAGCCAGCTCCTCCTTACTAGCCGGGGCCGAAGCGGTCTTCTTAAGCTCAGCTGCAAACGAGTCCACAAGTGCGCCAACCTCCGAGTGGGCAGCATAACCAGACAGACCCACTAAAGAGACGTCGCTGTAACTCGTCAGGAAAGCCGAGGCTTTCTTGTTATTGAGCCGCATACTCAGCAGAGCGCGCAGCACCTGCGACGCACCAAAGTCGGCAGAGTCGCGGCCCACAGTGGGCAACGCCAGAGCAACGTGCGTAAACTTAGCCGATTTCTTGACGCGGGTCTCTCCACCCACGTACTTGGCCGTGGAGCTGACAGCCTTGCTGCCTTTGACGAATGAGCCAAAGTACTGGTTGGCCAAATCTGTGAGAGTGCTGTGAGTTACACCAGCGCCCACAAGAGCGGCATTGGACGTGTTCACATACTTGTCGTAATAGGCCCACAACGTTTCGGGACTAAACGCCTTGAGGTTTTCCACGGATGCGAGCGGGCGGCCAAGCGACACATCGTCGTAAAATGCAGCGGCGTGCACGCCCTCCAGCAGTGACGCCAATGGATCCTCTGTAATCTTCTCAAACTCGGCATGTACGAGCTTCTTCTGCTCGTCCACGTCGTAAAGAGCAAACTTGGGGGCAAGCGTCGTCTCAGCCAAGATCTCAGCAGCTGCCTCTAGCTGGTCGGGCAGTACGCTGACACTGTAGCGCACAAAGTCTCGGCCGGCCTGGGCGTTTACGACGCCACCAATAGCCTCAATGTCGCGGTACAGACGCAGATCCGAGCGCGTCTGTGTAGCACGGAACGCCATCTTTGCAAATAGCTGCGAGATACCAGCAGTCTCCTCGGTCTCGTCACGCGCACCCGTTTTGAGCTGCACACCGATGGTGGATACAGATGCGGCGCGATCATCTGAGCCCAGCACAAGACCCGACGAGGCCGTGGACGAAGTAACCTTTGGGGCGGCTACGGCTACTGGCTGTGACTTGGGCACGGACGGGAACTCTTCACTCAAAGACACGCTCGGCATGGCACTGGCCTTGCTAAATAGCGAGCGCGATGCGCGGGATACAAGCTTGGAGGAAGACGACGTAAGCATTGCAGCAATAAGTAGGGACAATGTACTCTTCTTAGTGACGGGGTGTGAGGCGCTTGAGAGCCGCACACGATATACAGCATTTGATTGGTGGAAAAGATCATAACGTTTGTACGAATCAGATATCTTCTTGTAGATTTCTGACATGCAACCTTTCGTGCTCTCTGCCGCATTAATGAAGCCACAAAGATTGAAGTGCAACGAACTACAACAAATTCAAAAGGCGCACAAAATCAAAAGGAAACCAAAAGAAAGAGATCTGCTACGATGGAGATGAAGCACGTAGTGGCGCGTTTTATGGTGCACAAGGTAGGCAGCTTTGTCGTGAAGGAGCGTGTCCTGTGCTTTGGGGAATATTCGTTCTCAACGCTGGATCGAGAGAATCAACAAGTGACCAACATGTGGCCATATGAAGACGTTGATGGGGCGAATGTACTGGAAGGAGAGACAGATATTGTGATTCATACACCACGTCACCGCGTCAAGAAGACAGTGTATCGCTGTCACTTTCGCATGGAAGTCCTCGTGTGTCTCTTACGTCTACGTAGTCAGCATTACGCTAAAATGCCCAATCATCCGACACCTGTGGAGCTGCAGACACATGTGTTTCCAAGCTTAAAATGTCTCAAGAATGGCGTTCAGACCACGTGTGTCGTCGAGATCCAGCCGGATGGTATTTACCAGCGGGATACAGAGGGAGATGTGATGAGTCATATTCCGTATACTAGCTTGGTCTCTATTGATCTTATATGTGACGATCTTGAAGCTATTGTACTAAATCATTCAAACAACTCGAGTCTCTTTCTAGTACCAAAACGTACGGAACTCGCACAAATTATAAATCAAGTGATGAAAGCTTATGGGATACAGATGAATGAGTATCGCAAGAAAACAATGAAAATGGCATTGAATGATAATGACAAAGCAACATCATTTACATCGAGTGGAGTGTCATTTGAATATCAAGTGTCCAAGATCTCGCAGTTAAAGGAGTCAAGCGCTGCTCCAAGGACGCTTTCCGTCTCGGAAACGTATATCACCGAGTATATAGACGCAAAAACGGTGATTTCCAGTCGCCCTTTGTCGCGGGTTTACAGTCTTATCATGTACCAAGATACGCTGCAGACATTTGAAGTTGTCTATGTAGACGGAGTCAAGCGCAAATATCATTCTGCTCAATGTGAAAAGATTGTGTGTGAATTGCTGGCGTCTTGTCACGCAGTGGGAAACGTTCAGGTGGGTATAGAGATGACTGCAATTCCTGATACGATGCGTATGATACCCCGCAAAATCATCTTACAAGAAGGAAACAAGTTTGCGAATACGGTGTCGATTGTTAATGTCATGGATCGAGAGCTCCGTGTCGCACAAGCGAATATCTTACAGCTGCTAGCCGGGCACGGCCATCGGAAGACAGCGCGCACGCAACGACAGCTTCCTCGTGGCCGCGACGAGGAGATGCACTCTTTGGCGGTGGAGTTTAATGTGAATACACCAACGTCCGGTGTGATTGCACAGCCTAGCAAGCCTTTTGATAAGGTGCTGTACGTGCTAGCACGGGAGCTCAATGACATTGTTGCTCGACATGGTGCGAAACACGACTTCGTGTGCACGTATTTGCAATCCCTCTCTCGTTTGATGTTTGCGCCATCTGCCATCAACGAATTCATGAAGATTCTGACAGAAGTACGTTGTTTGCGGGCTTATCATATACTTCTTAAACGTGGACTCATTTTTCTGTGTGTACATTTTTTCAATCTGCTAGCGCGAAGACGAGTATATCAGCACAATTACTAAGATTTTGAACAGTAAAATGTCAGTCGCCATTTACTGGATGTTTATGGTGCTGAGCCGGCTGATGAAGTCGAAAGGCCACAAGTTGCAGTGTCGACAGCTTTTGTTATCCAACAGCGTTTTCATGATGACGCTTCTTTCGCTACTAGACGAAGATGTTCAGGTAAGTCTAGATTGCTGCTAATGTTTACTGGAGTATGCTGATTTACTAACGCATTTTCTGTTCACGTTGTGTAGACGAGTTCTTTTTTGTCTGACTTACCGACGATGAAATTGTGCCAGTTCATTCTGTTGCTTGTGAAGACAAATGGAGAGAAGCAGCAGACGCTCTCAGAAACACTTTATCAGCACTTGGCGACAAAATACCGAATGCTGCTTCGTATTCTTTTCAGCTTTCCAGGTTTGGGTACTGTGGAGGCCTGCGTGGGAATTTTAAGCAGAATGACGAAGAATCCAGCGTTTTTACACTTTGGTAATATGGGTTCTCCGTTGCGATCCAATGACGGAAAGGTTCCTCGACAAACGCTTAGCTTTGGTGAAACCTTGAGTTTTGGCCCAGGTAGCCAACGTGGAGCTGTGGCTCCGCTGTCCTCTCGTCCTCCAACATATTCGTCTCGAAGAAATAACTATATTGCAAGTAGGGGAAACAATACGTTTTCATCGTCAGCGTCTTCATCTAGTGGTTTGTCTGGCGCTTCGACAAACGTGGTAGTCGTACAAAACCCTGAAGTGCTCTTGCGGCAATATCGCCAGTTTCTCGAAGCAGCATGCGGCTCCCTGAAGATGGAGATCCATCAGTACGATGACCCTGTATTTTTACGCCTTCGATACCGATGTCGCAATGTTTTTCTGCAGGAGCTCATGAGTCACTTGGTGGGTAATTTTGAGGAATTCAAGCGCGTATACAGCGTTGACTGCTGCCAGTTCACTGGATTTATCGGCACAGCAGATGGGCAGCGAGAAAAGACCAACTTTTATTTGACGCCTCGAGCTCTGATTGCTGTGCGAATTGTGACTAGGCACACTCACGAATTTGAGTACCGGTCAATCGAAAAGCTTACTCAAGCAACCATCATTCCAGATGCGTTTATCTTCACAGTAAAGAACAAATTGAAGTTTATCTACTCCGACCAGACCAACGCGATCGTAAAAAAGATGAAGACACTAGCTGGGGTAATTGGGATCCATCTTCGGTTTGAAATCCGAGACAAGCTTCCAAAGCAGTCCGTGGAGAAGAAACTCGACCACTCCGCTTTTCCGACAAATGATATATTTGATGTCCAGAGACGAACTGGTCGACATGGATCCTCGCACTTGCGAAAGAAAAAGTTGTGCTTTGTTGATGGAACTATTGAAGAGATCTCCAACTTTTCGAAAAAGGTATACGATCTGAAGAAATTACGGCGTGTAGTGGTTCCTGGGTTGGGAAGTGACGAGATGCAGGCTGTAATCGCATTGGAATTTTCGGATTGCAGTCGCGTGGTTTACGTGCCATATGAAATTGAAAAGTTTCTGGCGGCACTGTACGATGGGTATCGCTACGTCGACAACTATGATGTATCATTAAGTCGAGATTTTCCTAACTTGAACTCGAGAATGTCTCTGAGGGCATTGTTAGTTAATGAGCATGAACAATATCTTTATCTCAACCACGATGGACTATACATCCCAGCGCACATGTATCTGGAGAAAGAGCTTCAAATGATGAAAAATGAAGGTGTCAGCATCACGGCGGCAACAAACAAGGTCGTTTTTGCACTTGAGAGCTTGAATATGGATGTCGAAATGGAAGATTTTGCAAGCAAAATCATGCGTGGACGCTTGGAGAAGTTATCGTTCAGTAGCTTGCTCTGGGGAATTAACAATATGGTAAGTGAAGCTTGGTCCCTGTTTGATATATATAGGCTAACACTCGGTGCTGATGTGCTCTTGGTCTGCGGGGTAGCTCGAGCATTCCTGCAAGCCACCGATTCGGGCAAACGAAATTTGTGTAATTCTGGAAGCGTTCTGCCGCATCAATGACGGCTGCTATCGGATCGCAATGGAGGAGTCGAATGGTGGGGCAGTGATACTCGTTCCAATGCTGGCTCAAACACTCGTTTCAGGTGATCCGATTGCAACCGTATGGGCAGTAAACGCACTTCATTCGATGGTGACTGACAAATCACGATCAAATGCACATCGAGTAGCTGAAAAGGCCATTCGGTACCAGGTGTTCGAGCATACGAAGCTTATATCGTTGTTGACTGATCTGCTGGAGCAACGCAATTTCAGCTCCACGCTGGTCATGCTACAACTGGTTTTGGATGTACTAGTTGTTACTCGTCACAGCACGGATAATAAGCACTTTGACGCCATCGTTAAAGCGCTCGGGGCAAAGTATTTACTTTTGATGGAGCTAGCGTCTCAAACATCGAATGCAGGGCTAGTTGCAGCTGCTATTTGTGTCTTAAAGGTGATTGTTGACACGAACCTTGGGGACCGTAAGGTGCGACGACGCATTTGTGACGCTGCCCTGGAATCAGGGCTCACTATTAAGCACTTGTACGAGGCGTTTTTCCACCCTTCTGATAATGCAAAGGAGACATACCAGTACATTGCAAGCATCTGGGTGACTCACCATAAAGCCTCCCATAACATGCTTGTGAGAGTGCTTCCCCATGGATTTATACGAATGATATCAAACCCAATGGTCCGTAAATTGCTAAGAAAGCAGCGAGCTCGACAGACCGAATCGAAGAGTAAGCATCAACTTCAAGATCCAGTTGATGGATCAAAATGGTTTATTCGTCGCATGCAGCTCCAGATTGGAACACTTTTTGCAAGTGGTTCTGTGAAAGAAGGTCAAGTTAAGGAAGCTCCCTTACGCACGAATTATCCTGGTGAATCATCTACCGATATGGCTTTACTGTCGAGTATGGTGTGCAAAGATTTCTTGCTGCCTGACTTGATTTGGAATGAACTCACACGAGGCCAATTGAAAGCGTCTCTTAAGTCAACGATTAAGGAATTTGATCAATTTAAAGCCAATCAAGCTGCTGCACTATCGTTAGTTATTTCTCGAAAAAAAGGCAACACGATTAAATGGAACCACGCCCGATTCTCTGTGACGTACGAAAGCATTGCTCAGGAGCTTCAAGTTGACCGATTTTATCTTCGTGTTATTTTGGAAAGGATAAACGATGGATCTTTGCAGTTGGCTGAAGTTGCTAGTATTGTCCGGGCGATGGAAGCTGGAACGCATCAAGGAAAGCTAAAAAAGTCGAGCAGCCTCTTCTTTGCTAGCATGAATATTGCTAAATATCCAGCGAATTTTTTTAACGAGATATATCAGTGCTGGTTGGAGCATCTTTATCTAAACGACATCCCTTTGTCTGGAACAAGTGATTGGTCCGCGAGCGGAAGCAACGGTTTCCCACAACTTACCGGGGCAACCGGCAGCGAGCAGCATGGTCGTTTAATGCTTAAAGTTCTGATCGAATTAGCTGGTGTATTCCCTGAAGTCCGACCCATTACGAAACATCGAGCACGATTTCTCACTGAGCTGCTACGCAATTCTTATCTGGCGTGTGAGATACAAGACATCGTAGAGTTGATGTCTTGCTTAACTCTATCGAGTGAGACCAGTACAGAGTTGTGTACAAAGAAGCACATCCAAGTGCTTTTATATATGTCATTGCTGTCGCATAGGCACCAGACAGCACCAAAAGGAAGAGACATGATGAATGATTATGGTGGTATTCCAATGATGGACTCGCTGGAGATGTCGGAAGCAGCAGAAACCTCTTCTGTACCGATTGCAGAACTTTCCTTCTACAATGAATCAAGATTTGCTTTGAAATGGAGCGTGAAAAGAGCTATGGTAGAGACTGGAGAAGAAAGTTTGGTTAAAGGACCGTATTCAGCAAACGAGATGAAAGAATTCCTAGATGCTGATCCTTTCATCCGACACCGGCAGATTGACGCTTTCTATGTATGCTGCTGCTCTTCTCATGGACATGACCATTCTACTAGCGTTGAACACGAATGGAAGTCAATATTTGAGCATCCAGAACTACGATGGATGGAGCTAACCGAAGAGCCCATTGACGCAAGTTGTGCGGTGTTCGCGTTAAAGACGCTGAGAAACTTTATGGTCTTAGACCAAGACACGGTGCCATCTGGGAACAAAATGTTATGGCCGCCTCCGTTGGTGAATACGATTGTGGCTACTACGTCTTCATTAGCTTTGATAATTCAGCTACTTCTGGTAAATAACTTTAACGTACGGAGGTACGTCTGTGAGATGCTCATGTCATTGACCGATGAAGAGCTGCAAGAGGTATATAAGTATGGAACATTCTTCTTCATTTTGTCAGCGGCTGCGAATCATAAAGGAACCGATAAGGTACCTGCCTTTGTTCCCGAAGCAACACTACTGAAACGGATTCATAGAACTCAGCGATCGTCGGAGCGACATGTAGGGCAGAGCTACTTAACGGATATGTTGCCGGAGTCACTCATAGCGGTTCTGGACTCGGAGACCCCTGAACGCTTTGCTGACGTGTATAGTGGTCGCATACACGACAAGCGCGTTCTGTGGTCCTCAACAATGAGTGCTCATTTACAAGAAATGATGGATGAACACTTACAAGAGTTTAAAAAAAGTTTGAAGGGCGACGTTGCAGCAAGATATAACTACACTCCAATCCCTCCCATCTCTTTTCTGGAGTTATCGAAAGAAGTCTACTGCAGTGGCTTCTACCTTTCGACCTTCAATCAGTCCGAATCGGAAGCAGTAGAAGTCGAGGATCCAGTATTTTTAATGAAGAGCATTGAGGAAAAGTGGCGTCACTTTGTTCGGCGTCAAGCCGATGGTATAGAGGAGGACATGGATCACTTGAATGCATACAGAATATTTGGCTGGAGTGAAGACGCAATGTACTCTTTATCTGATTTACGCACGCGCTATCGGGAGCTGTGTCAGAAAACCGAAATGGAATTGAACACAGTTCGTAATGCTTTTGACGTACTTTGTGCTGTGCTTGAGCGCAAGAACGAAGCTGAGGGCGGAAAGTCATCGGACGAAGTCATCGAGCGTATTTTGAAATCTCAAGTTCAGTTGTTGGATAAGTACGGCTTCCAGTTTTTCTCGTACGAGTCTTCAACGCTGGATCTGCTTGTCAAGGCTTTGTCACCTCAATCGACAGAAGAGTCTAGATCGCGTACTCTCGCGATGAATGTGTTGCGGCGACTGCTCTCCGTTGCGCCGCAAAATGGCCCACTACTGGTTAGAATCGATGGTATGTGGGATGCGGTTCTTGACATGGTTGAAATCTGTGCATACAGACACGATACGGCAGCAAAAGAGAACATGTTCTCTATTCTTCAGCTGCTTCTTCTATCTGAAGAAGGAGTTCAATCGCTTTTGGGGGTAGACAAAGCAGCTGCTAACGAGGTGCTACCGTCGAAGACAATTGATTTTGGCACACTTGGGGACGATGACGATACGTCATTTTTCATTGCGACGGAGTATACGTCTCAAAACGGAGCAAAGAAATTTAAGCACGCTCAGAGCGTATATTCGCTATTAGATGATGTTATTCTATCGTTTGAAAACATTCAGCCGTGGCATATTCAGAAAATGTCGTTTGATATTGCGTCATCGCTTTGTCGAAGCCACGTGTTACAAAAACAAATCATGACTTCCACTCGAGTATTTTGGAAGGGTCTTTATTTGATACTTGCATCAGCTGAGAGCACATCAGGAATTGATGCAGCTCAGAGTATAACCGCGCTAGAGAGACAGGAACGTGAGATGCTGGAGAGCGCTTTTGGAGCATTACGATCGCTAGCTTTGGGTCCTGATGGTAGCAGCCGATCTGCAGGACTTGATGCTTTAGCGAATCTCCTTCCAATGGACTTCTTGGATTGTCTCGAGAAGCCTAATGGATATGACTTTTGTACTACTTTGCTTTCAAATATTCGTGAACCGACCTGTATTTGGAACGAAAATACGCGAGCCGAACTCTCTCAGCTTATGGAAGAGTTTTGCACTGATCCCGATGGTGATGGATTATTGTTTTTGGAAAACGCCTCGAACCACATGTACGATTGTCTTAGCACTGAGCCTTTTGTTGGAGGAATTTATTTGTTGATATTGCTGGAAAAGTCAGAAGGGCATCCAGAAGCGATTACTGAAGATACGCTGTATCCGACCACAGCCATCGACTTTGTGGAATCTCTATTCCTGTTCTTGAATGAAAACAGAGATCCTAAGCTTGGCATTTATTCTGACACACTACCTGCATTGGATTGTTTAAGTCTTCTTTGTGACTTGCCGGACTTCCGGCCTGCCATTGTGGAGTGCTTGGAGCAACACGTTGACGATGTGGATCCAGTAAATGCTTCGATTTCGGTAGCCACATTGGGCAGATACTTGCTTCCGTTTGACAATATTGACAAAACAAAAGCAATATCGATTTCGTCTCGTCGATCACTGTCAACGTATGGCTTTAAGGCCAAGATTGGGTCTGATGGTGCATCTGCTGCGATGGAAATTGAGTTTGGAAATGTTGATTATTTGGCCCGCCAAGAACTTGCGCTGCTTGTTCTGAACAAAATCTGTGGGTTGCAATATAACCTGGAACGGATGTTATCGCCTTTCTGCCAATTTACATGGTGCCTTCAGGTAATCGCGGATCATCTTGATTATGAGCAAGCATTTTACGCACTATCCTGTTTGGCCGAGCTGTGTGACACTTGCCTCGTAATTGCCGAGTATATTCAGACGAGCGGGCTGTGGGTCGAGATATTGGGCATCGCACTCCAATCTAGACAGCATGTCCTCCATGAGCATTTTCTTCGAGCTGAAGCTTTACGGGAACCTGCATTTGAAGTTTTGTACGCACTACTGATGAAAGATATAGCTTTGCGAGAAAAGATGTACAGTGGGCTTTGTCGATTTCTTCCTTACCCGATCGTGTACCAAATTCACCTGGACCCAAACAAGGCGACTCGATTCTTCGACGACAATCACGAAAAAGGCGATTTGATATGGAACTCTCACAGACGAACTGAAGTGCGCAAGAAGCTCGACCAAATTATCTGCCGAAATCGAGTGGAACGATCGATAGCGAAGCGAGACTCTGTTTTGCTTGACGACGAAACAGATTTTATCCCGCTTCCCCAAAATTTTGTGGCGGGTCTTTATATTAATCGCTTCTTATCTCGACCGGACCCTGAAAAACTTACAAACCCAGCATACAATTTGGAGCTGCTATTTCAGGTATGGAGGACTCAACTGGACAAACTGATGAGCTTTGATCTGCAAAATCCACCTGAAAACCTTAAGACAACCGCTGATGAGATCGACAAGTACACTATGGCAATAACGCATATTTTACGGGCATCACTTGATATTGACGAGAGCATTGCTAACAACCATACACCGGAACAGATCGTGAAGCTCGTGCGCTATTGTAATGAGCACTTGATTACAAGTTTCCCGTACCGTTGCATCTTACATATCGCTCGACGCTTGGTGCAATTTCCCGAGATCACCTCGAAAGATTTTGTTGAGTTGCTGATTTGCCGAATTACTATGCTGCACCCAGATATTCCGAGTTTGCTGAAGGTTCTCCGTCGTGTGTTGGAGGCGCGCCACACGGTACTAACAGAAACGGGGACGAAGGATGATCCTGAGTATTGGTTGAGAGACCTGAAATACTATTCCCAGATGTTGACGTTCCTGGAAGGACTGCTAGAGAACAAGGAGCAGATCGAAGCCTCACTTTTGTCCAATATAAATCGCGTATTGCGCATCATCCATGCGGAAGAGCCGAAGGAGACCAATTTGAAGCAAAAATCTCGTAGCTTCATGGGACGCTGGCATAATTTTACGTTAGAAAACAGATCTTCGATGCATTGTAAAGCGATTAAGACCGGGCAATCTCAACAAAAGCCGCCAGTGAATACGTCTGTGATGACCATTGAACCAGGCAACCCGCACACCTTAAGTGCACAAAGTTTTGACGTGGATGGGGCAAGAGAACGATCATCAGATGTTGCAAGTACTCAACGCGATGATATGAATGGAAAAATAGAGCCTTCCATCCGTGTGGACATCAAAGGCATACCTGATGATCGTGAAGTTGATATCGACGATACTTTCATTCAAATACCTCCGAAGAGCATCAACTTCAATGACGGTGCGATCGAGGTAGGAGATGCTGTTGCACCTCGCAGTTTTCGATACAAGGGCGAAATCGCCCATAATTCGCCACTACCATCTCCAAAGCCCGTTCGCTACTCGACGCTAGGAGCTCGATACGAACCGGTTGACTCCCAGTATCATTCGAAGAAAGCAGCTGAGTATGATGAACATTTGGATGACGAGGACATCTTCACTAGCCAACCGCGTCGTGGGAGTGTCCCATTGCCGTCAGACGATGTCGGTGTGAAACTGGTCAATAGATTTACGTCTGCTGCAGGAGTCGGTATTCCCATAAGCAGCATCAACGTGAGAAATTATGATCCGCGAGCGCCTGCTAATCGAAGACAGTCGCAAGAGCCAAGTGAAGCCCCGCCAGAAGCGACGAGTGGCCAGAATGGACAAAATGGGATACGTTCCGATCGACGTTATTCACTACTGGACTCGTGGAAACCGCCAAATTCAGCAGTGCCAAACGCGTCACTCACGTCGCTCACGATTTCTCGACGAGGACGTCGAGCTGCTGCAATCTATAGCCGACACAAGTCCAAAGGCAAAAAGAGATGGTTTAATCTGTAAATTACGTTTTTTTCCAAAATTGACACGTATAAAAGGCAAGTTGAAGTTGTACCATCACTCTGCATTTTGCGCACTAGTAACCCATGAGTTGGCAGCAGGAAACGGTATCAGAGATCACCTTTGACCACAATGAAAGGCCATTAGGCCCTGAAAAAGACAAGACAGCGGAAGATAGCAGCATTCTTCGGTACATCAAAACATTGACAAACCACCAAATGAACGCAAAGCAGCAACGGATGGATCGATATCTTCAACAAGTCAAGCACGTGCAATCAGCCGAGGACTTTTCTGTACGACTCTCCAAATCTCCTCAATATCCTTTAGTGACTAGAAACCAGCATCAGCAGCTGCAAAAGAGGTCAAAAACAAAAGTCAAGTCTAAACGTAATGACCGAGTTCGGAATGATCAACAACACGTGGCTGCAGCCACAAATCATTCTTGTTCTCGATCGAAGCGTCCAAATGATAATAATCACGAAGATCGACAGACGAAGAAGCCGAAGAAGTCTAATCAACAAACAAAACAGACCACGATTATCGGATCCTTGGAGAGATTTAGGCTTCACGGTGCCTGGTCACAGAAGGCAGCGGGTAATCATTGCGAGGATGGCAGCAAGATGCCTCCAGATGTTACAGGAAACAAGCCTGTTCAATCAGTCCAAATACAAGATTTGACACGCATGCCACAAACTTTGAGCTCAAAGTTCAGCACGATGAGGACTGACTTGGATCGCCGCTCTGTTCAGGTTTGGCTAGAAAATCTATCACAGGAATTGGCACAGCATCAACCATTGACACTTGAGGTCTCGTTTTCATGCAGGAACTCAGGCCACTTTTAGTTAAGGCGCACGCAGGTTCAGTTCCACCTCAAGATCCGTGCAGCAACTTTGCCCAGCCCATCAACTTTCTATCACCGGAGGAAGCGCAACCAAGAAATCTTGACTGTGTCTTCCCTCAGCAGGAGGCTTTCATCCCAACTTATGATCCCCTCACTTCCGTCATGGAGTCAATTTACTTTTAATTTGATAAGCAAAACAACGCAGCACAAACACCAGCGAGTCGCACGATCAGCGTTACAATAGTCTTCAATGTACGCCATGCACGTCTTCCTGTTGTCCCTTTGTAGAGAACTCTTCACTTAAAACGATTCATCCAGAGGCTCAACTTATACAAGCATGCACTCTATTATTACAATTTGGCCCCTTATTGATACAAGCCCTCTCTCTTCAATTTCTAGACTGCTCTTGATTGCACGAAAGACAGAAGACGCGATCAAACTGCTCGTCGCAGTTGAGCGTCGAGCACAGCGGACAGAAAATGTTACAGCACAAAATGCACTCGCGTTGGCAGCAGTCGCCCATTGTCCGCTCGCAGTGCGAGCAGTACTTTATCGTAACAGCCACTAGCTGGGGCTTGACGGGCTTCCCGGCGCGATCACACACAGTGCAGGAGGCCCGTGGTGTCTTGCTTTTGACGCCAAAAAGTTGGCCAATGCTGCTGTGCTTTTTGATACGCGCATTGGTGATGGCCGCTGACATCATGCGACTCATAGCGTCTAATTTATGAGCAAAACAAGGTAAGTTTTAGTCCTTAACCACGTAATACAGTGACTAAATCTACGCACCGACAGGCACGGAGCGGTCTCGACAGCGTTTGACAGACGCGTGTCGCGGCTTCCAGGGTGACATAGAGACCCAAAGAGACGACGGAGGAGGCGTCATGCCCACGTTGCAGTCTTCTGTCATCATGTCTTCATCTCGTAGGCGCTTCATACTCGTTTTTAAGAGTAAAATTAGGCACGAAATCTTAATTTGCTGGTCGCGCGCTAAAGCTGAAGTGAGGTTGATGGCGCGAAATGTTGGCGCTAACCCATTAAAGTACGAATTAGATCTTTTCGAAATTAGAAAAATATGACAAATGTAGTTGCAAAACACGGTCTATTTGATATGGAATGTTTAATGCTTCCAGCTATCAAGTAAACACAAACGAGGAAAGTTAGTGACGGTACCCATTAGCATGTAAGAACAGGTCACTTACATCTTGATGGTGCGATCCTTGCTACCCGATGCCACCATGTCGCCATTTGGACTCCAATCCAGCGCATACACCTCATCAGCATGACCTGACAACGTTGTCTTGGCATTCTTCGGGTCACTGAGCTCCCAAATCTTTACAGTCGAGTCTTTACTTGCTGTCACGATCAGTCTCGCATCACTGGACCAACAAACTTGATACACTGCACCAACGTGGCCAGTGAGTGTAGCAACAAACTTACCCGACTGGCCATTCCAAATCTTGACTTTCTTATCAAAACTCGCGCTGGCAAAGTATCGCCCGTCTGGAGAAAAGCTCAAGTGATTCACTGGCTGCTGATGACCAGTAAGACGAGCCAGAGGCTTCTTACTCTCTGAAGGCTCCCACAAGAACAGAGTAAAATCATCCGAGCCAGAAACCAAACGTTCCGGCTGACCCTTACGAACCTCTTGATATCGCTTTAATGCCGCGTGTTGCATCTCTTCGCGTGATGTAAAACTCGTGGTGTTGTGGTTGAACGGTCCCGAACGACAAACGTAGTCGACATTCAGAGCCAATGTGTTTATACGATGACCGTGTCCAATCAGTGTACGCACGAGCTTGCCCACGTGCTCACCTTCCATCGCCCAAACCTTAATTGTTCGGTCACGGGATGCACTGTACAACAAGCCTTCGCCTCCCCACTTTATGCACTCCACCGAGTCTGTGTGACCCGACAACGAAGCAATGGAACGACCAGTGCGAGCATTCCACACCTTGATCGACCCGTCCTTTGAAGAACTTGCAAAACGCTCACAAGTATCGTTGCGATGCATCGGCTCCCATGTCAACGAGTTAACCCACTGCTTGTGGCCTTTCATCGGCTGCCCAATCTGCTTTCCCGTGAGCGGGTCCCACAGACGAATCTCACCGTTGCGGTCTGCCGATGCAAAACGTGCTCCATCCGGCGACCACGCCGTACACAGCACATGGTTCTTATGTCCACGACCCGTGTGCTTCGGCATGCATGTATTCATGTCCCAGAAACGTACAGTCGCGTCGCCACCTCCACTTGCCAATCTCTTCCCATCCGGACTAAAACTCACATGCAAAATCGCCTCAGAATGTCCCTGCAAAGTATCACTGCATCGGGTAACAGGACGCACGCGGAAGGCAGCCAGAGGCTGAAATGTGATAGTCAACGCTGTTTCCGTCGATAATTTCTGTCGTCAACAAATTATACAATAAAGTGAGCAGTTTTCTCCTTAGTAGTAGCATCGTCACATAGCAATTGCAGCCACGCACCAACTCTTCTACTGTGGCCTTGAGCGTCGTTGTCACTTCCGTTTCGCCAATAAAGAGTGAGTATGGCACGCGATTCTTGCCGTTCTGCAGCAATTCGTTGACCAGCTCCTCCATCTGCCGGATACTAGAAGCCATAGGAATTTCTAGTTGTGGACCCACATTGCTTCCCTATTAAAATTATTCATACATAAAAAAAGAGCAACAGAGAGAGTAAGGCGTCTAACATCTTGGAATGTGTATAAACTGGTGCTCACGTCTTCGCTCTGGAACTGGGCAATCGCAAACGTCCCGGTCTCATCGTCCACGTCGTCATCGTCTTCTTCATTAACGGCGCTTTCTTCTGTTTTCATGACTGCATCGACGTGTGTAATGGGTTCCATGAGCTCGTGCTCCATCTTCATCTTTTTGGCGACGTGCGTGGCCATGGTATAAATGACTTTGAGTGGCAAAAACTGTTGGGCTGTAGCCGTCGCACTGTGATTGGTTAAACATTAGTTTATTCTGACTGATAACGAATTTAAAGGTTACTATTATTTTTCAGCTTTAAATCTCAAATTTTGTGAATACATGTACTAATTCTTATATTAGTCAAGATAAAAGTCAATACGTCACCGACGTCTGGATATGCTACAAAGTAGCTATTCCTCAATTAGATCTGTACTTTCCGGGACGCGAAATGGACACAACATGCAAGAGACACCTGGCCTGCACCGGGCAACACAAAGGACTTCTATATACTTGGATTAATTTAATATTCCTTGTAGTGTCCTAATTATACATTTTTATTATCCACATTTTCATACAGTTGAAAAAATCAATCCAATTGCTTGACCACAATTACCAACATTCCGTTTTCCAACGAGTTCTATAGTGATGACTTCCGTCGTCTCTCTAAACTCAAGCTAAATACCAGTATGAAACCGGTTCACTCACCCACAACCAATATAATCCACTTGTTTTAACTAATAGTCCTCATCTCCCTCCCTTCAACTGCTTTCGTCGTGCCGTGTCATCCATCCTTCTCTTCCCCCTCGTTCTACAAAAAAAGTCAGTTCCATTCTAACAAGAAGACGACAAAGTAGAAGAAGATACAAACGATGCGCCCTGTGCACGCGCTGCTGCTGCTGCTGCTGAGTCTAGTGGCTACATCGGCTATTGCAAGTGCCGAACGTGGCATGCGCTACAATCCGGACGTCATGGATGACGACGTGCCCATTCCTCAAGAGAAAAAGACTGAGATTGAGACCGAGACAGCCTCTGGTCTCATTGCGGCGCTGACTGAACACTTTCATCAGTCGAGCGCGATGGTGCAGAGTTTCCTCGGCTTTGATAGTGCGGAAGAAGTTGTTCGCATTGTGGTGATTGAGGAGGAGAAGGAGGATCCGGCACTAGAAAGGAAGACGGCGTGTTTAAAGGCAATGGAGATAATGCACAAGCAGGAGGAGCTGAAGCAGGAAACGGAGACGTTTATGAAGTACATTCGCTCGGCTTTTGACATGGTCTCGCTGAAAATATGGGGCGGACCGTCATGTAATGATCTCGATCGTCTTGAGCTCGTGGATCAGGTACAACACTTGGACATTGGATTGTCAATAATTGGGATTGTTTAGGAGGTACTAAGTTAGTGTATATGATGATCTTTACAGTGCAACCTCGTGTTGAAGTCGGAAGATGCGGTGCAGCTATATCTTTTGGAAGACAAGACGGATGACCAAGTGTGCGACATCATGTCCGTCGTCTCAGATCTGGATACAAAGAACAATTTGTCCTGCCAACTGTGTCAGAGATTTGTGCAGATGGTCGATCAAGCTGTTTCTCAAGAAATGCAGCAAGTGGAACAAGTCCGAGAGATTATCGGAGACTTGTGCGATGCCATGTCGACCGACTCGATGTGCCACACGTTTCTTAAAAACTACGATGCTATTGTTGATTGGGTGAAACACGGCACAGATTCGCTTGTGGTTTGCTTGCGTCTCACTATGTGCTCAGCGGATAGCAGTAGTAGCCACGGCAACAATATTTTAAACTTGGCCTTGACGCCTGACGAGCCGCCAGCATTCGAAGATGGAGCTCTTGTGACAGCTGACTTCCAAGAGCAGAACCAATCGTGCTTTTTTTGCACTCGTGCGACTGAAGTGATCTACCACGTGAATATTCTTCTCCCTGATCAGCTTTCGATGATTAAGTCTATGTTGCCAAGTGTATGCCAGATGGCTTTACCAGTATCCAGGTGCCAAAATGTAGAAGCTAACTTTGACCGTATCGTAAAACTGGTGCAAGAAGGCCTGGACCCACATGAAGTTTGTGAAAACGCCAATTTCTGCTCAAAGGCGGCATTGCTTGATATGCCACCGATGCGTGGCAATGACAAGACGTGTGTGTACTGTGACGCAGCCACTACAGTCGTGGAAGTTATTTTGCAGGAAGCTCCCGAGCAGATTAACGAGATTCGTGAGTACGCTGATATGATCTGCGGTATACTGGGAGAAGATAGCCCGTGTCATCAGTATGTGACGCAATTGGACACTGTTGTTGATGCCTTGAATAAGGGAGCCCATCCTCGCGAAATCTGTAAGATGTTGAAGTACTGTTCGGCCGAAAGTATGGACAGTTTTTCTCAGTCAGATGAAAGCCCTCGCGTCGGTGTGATGCGAAATGGCCTCCTCGGAGATGATCACAGTGTGAGTATGGATGGACCTGAAGGTCGTCATGGGCGTGTTGGTGACGGCCTTCATCATGGTAGCTGCTTCTTTTGCACGCGAGTAGCAACTGCAGTCCATTACGTTAACCGCGCGTCTCCAGAAAAAGTGCCAATCGTAAAGACCATTTTATCGAACGTGTGTCAGCTGGTGCCTTCAAAATTCAAATGCGATGTGGTGGACAAAAACTTTGACAAGATTGTAGAACTGGATAAGGAAGGCAAGCACCCCCACGAGATTTGCGAGTCGCTCGGGGTTTGTAAGAAGTTACAACACGAGGAAGAAAATTTTGCTGACGATCCAAAAGGTGTTACCGTGGCTACACAATGGCCTTCTGGAAATGAGACTCAGTGCACTTACTGCCAATTTGCTACCACCGTGGCCAAAATCGCGCTGGAGCAGTACGGCGCTGACATCCGCGAAGTTCGCGCGTATGCTGATATGATATGTGATATGCTGGGCGAAGACAACCCTTGCCACGATTACGTGAAGCAATTTGATTTTGTGATTGATTCAATTACGAAAGGCATGACTTCCAAGGCAATTTGCGTGGGATTGAAGTTTTGTACTGCGACTATAGTTGATGGTAAAGAGAATGCTCTGATGTCAAGCACATTACTCGCATTCTCGGTCAACAATCTAATAGCCGATGGTCTAGCTAAGAACTCGATGGAAGCGTCCAGTGACAGGTGTTTTGTCTGCACTCAAGTGGCATCTGTAATGGAGGTAGCTGTGGCTGAAGACCCCAGTCAGATTGCGCAGATTCGACAAATTGCTGACGTCGTTTGCTTCTTGATGCCAAGTGACAACCAGGTTTGGCGATTGCTCGAACTCATCTTATATGCTATAAATGCGCTGACTTCGTGTTTGTGTGTGTATGTGTTTCAGTGCCAATCATTTGTAAAGAAGTTTGACACTATAGTTGATTCTCTACAGAAGGGGGAGCAGCCAAATGCTATTTGCCACGACCTGCAGTACTGTACGGCGAGTTCCGATCCTGCCATGGCTAATCTTGCGGTGCCCGACATGATCGCTGTTCAGAACCATGAGAAGGGAAGTAGCACGTGCGCCTACTGCAATGGCGTTGTTAGTGTGCTTAAGTACGCGCTGGACCAAAAACCAGACAAAGTCAAGGAAATGCGTAAAACTGCTGGAATTGTGTGCGATCTGCTTCCTCCTGACGACACGGTACGTAATGTGCTGTCTTTAATTTTCCAGGACTTCCTACCTAACTAGAATTGTTTTGTGCAATGTAACGACGGTAGTGTCACGATAATCTCAAGATGTTTGACGAAGCAGTGACTGATGTGCTATCTGGAAAGGCACCTCAAGAGGTTTGCCAGGCGCTGAAGTTTTGTACACCTATTGACGCTGGTAGTGAAGTACTGTCAGGTTTGCTTGATTTTACTGGTGGGGACTTCATGCCGACGAGGTGCACGACCTGCCAGCAAAATACGTTGCTGCTCGCATCTTTGGTCACGCGCCCAGATAGCTTAGACACTTACAAGCGCGAAATCAATACGGTGTGCCGCTTGATCCCGGAATCTAATGAGGTACGTTAGTGCTAAGATCATCGCCTGGAACAAGTTACCTAACCGTTTTATACAACAATGTAACTAGTGCGAGCTGCTGATGAAGCATCAAGATGCGATCATTGATTTGCTGAAGAAGAAAGAAGACGTGGATGCTATTTGCACGCGTATTGGAGAGTGTGCTTTCGCAGCGGAGGAGGTGCAGAAAGAGAAGCCGATGTCTGTTGGCTGTTTATTTTGCGAGTTTACTGCTGACCTCTTAAAACATGCCAAGGATAGCGAAGAGGCCTTGCGCGAGGCAAAGGCGACGCTCGAAACAATTTGCACTGTCATGCCGCCGCTTGCGCGCTGCGATGTTCTTTCTTCGAAATTCGATGAGCTCTTGTCGCTCATGCGCGAGGGTAAGAGCCCGAGTGAAGCATGTCACACTATTGCTTTGTGCGACACAGATTTCGTGTTTTCGCCATCGTTGAACGTGAAGGAGGACCCCATCGTGCAAGCTTTTGAGAAAGCGCGACAGAGCATGAGCAACGCGGTGGAGATCCAGTAAGTGAAGTAACTTTTTATCTTCAACGCGAAAGGAATGCGTTTCGCTTGTGAATTGGCGGCTACTTGTGGTGATGTCGTTCTGCTCAATTCTCTTCTATCGTTAACATCGGCAAAGCAGTAATGCCTTTAATAAATATTTCATTTCTTAAGCAACTTTGCTAAATCTCGATTAAAGCGTGTCCATTGAGGTACATGGACAGATGAGTTTCAGGCATTTAGTACTGGACTTTGTGTCGAGACCAAGTGCGTGGAAGTCCTGAATGATTAAAGTGTAGTTTGCCAAGAACCAAACCATGACAATCATTATGACGACACAGGAGAGCCTTCATATTGTATGTCTTTGTAGAAAGTAATGAGTCGACTTCGTAAAGGCAGATTCTTAAGCAAGCCAGAAAAAGGAAGACAAAATGCACTGGCGGATGCTTAGATGCAACGGATACTTCGTTAAAGCTATTAGCTGGTCGAGAGGCTGCAGTGCTGATAGCAACGGCTGTCGCTGAAAACGTGCTACACCTTCTTTTCCTCATTCATTTATACATCAAGACGAGTTGCCTGTGCTGCTTGGGCCTCACAAAGTAGTGTCTGGAAGCACTGGATTAAGGTGGTGATACCAGTTTGCAGGCCTTCGTCGTGGCTGGGAGTAACCGGGTGAGACACGTGGGCAAAGTCGATGAGACGAATGTCGGCCCTGTACGCATTTGTGATGGGCTTAACTTCTTGTAATGACTCTTCGCCGTCATACAGGAAGAGGAAGGAGCTGGCGATAAATTGCGTTCCCTGCTGCTCGTCAAACCACGCTTTCAACTGGTCAAGACGCCGCAAGAACTGCATGCGACAAAAAGAAGACGGGTATTGTTACTATGACAAGCACATTTTTCGTTCACAGACAGACACGTTAGCAACTTACCGCTTCCAACAACTTCATAGTCTTGGTCGTGTCTTCCGATGGAAAGTAACGTTGAAAGGCCGGAGCAAGCTCGTCCATAGATGTGATACTACGACCAAAGTTTCTGTCAAACTCAATATAGCGTTGCTGCTGTGAGTTGAACACCTTCATGCCTTGGATACGGAACCCTGCCGTCTCTTGTAACGGACATTTGGACTTTTCATAAGCGATCTTCTCGGCTGACGCGTCCTTTTCGTAAGAGTGTGTACCCATCTTGACATCCATGATACAGGGCGATTTTCTGCCACACGTCAAGTCCTCCAGTACCAAAAATTCTGCACAAAAGTTGCAATTAGTGCTATCGACTTACATACAGCAGCAGCTCCAGCCTCAATTTCGCACCTCGATGGTGCTGCTCATTGACAGACGTCGTCTCCTCCTTGTCGTCCTTAGCTTCAGGAAAGATCATTGTACCAAAATACATCGGTAAAAACCCTCTGAGAGCTGCAAACTCCGGCAAATCTTTCTCCGATACAAACACACGTTCATAGAAATCACGCTCTCGTTCGCCTCGCTGTTTGCTTTGGAAAGGTTTCAAGATGCGGCCGTTATGGGCTCGTAGACCTAACACATAAGATCAAAGGAGATATTTTACTACAATATGTTCATTTATTGCAAATATTTGCAAGTTCTGAATGTACTTGTCTTAGCTGTGGAGTGACCACCCACTTGGTGTGTGAAGCTCTGTATGTCGGTCATTTTATTTTTTGTTTATTATTGTCAGCACATTTTTTTTGCTTTCGAGTATTTTCGACTTGTTAACGTCAGAATTGCATTGTGATCAGCATGTTTCTTAATTCGTATTCAAATTATGACGATATATTCATTTACGAAAGTACTCATTTGTCGAGTAAGAATTACATTGTCAATGTACGACACTTTTTTTCAACTTGTATGACCTGCAGATGTATCGAGGACCTTTTACAATGGGAATTATATCGTAAATCCCGCAAACCTTTATCAGCTTCGGCAAGCATCGCATAAGTCATATAAAAATACTTTTTCTCTCGTTCTCGGGCGGCCCTGTCGGTGTAAATTTTGCCAAGCGGCGTGTCAATTTTTGTAGTTCATTTGTGGCCGTTGCTGCGCTGTCTCCGCTCGGTCCGCCTCCTTACCAGCGGATCGATATTTGTACTCCAAATTAGGCAGGTCTCCATTCGCATCGTCGAGAGCAGCATTGAGGGTGAGACCTGTATCTTCTCGATCAATAGCCAATTCCAACGCATGAGCGTGAGCCTCGAAGTAGCAAGCTTTCTTATCGTCGGCATTAATCGTTTTCTTTGCAGCGGTTGGAGTCAGTAGTTCGACAGTACGTTGTGCGTCCGCCACTTGAGATTGAGCCACCGCTATAGCCGTATCCTTGGATGACTTCGCAGACGTATCGGGAACTGCAACATTGTCCGTTGCCTGATAGGACTTGGAAGCCGTACAATCACCTCTGATCAGGTGGTCCAGTTCATCAACCGCCTGTGCACGCTGCTTAGCAGCCCTGACAGCAGCGGCAGATGTCACGGACGGTGTAGCCGCGGGTGCTCTTCCTTTCGTAGGTACTGCTGTGGCCTCGACAAACAAATATCTGTACATCCGTTGCGGCTGTCAAGCATTCGTTTTGGATTAATCTAGAAAATACAAATGTATAGTCAATATTAAAAGCACAAAGATATACCTCAATGAAATAATAAAAGAAATTTAAAACCATATATACTGAGACGTATACTATACATATGGCATGACTAAGATACGTACCAAGGGTGGCCCAAAGCCATGAAATTGGTCATTTGAGCTCAGAATATATAATTGAAAAAAGTCGAAAAGACTTAATTCTGTCATGCTCGTATCCGTCCGTTACCTACGACTGTCTAAGGCACACAGCAAACAGTCGCCTCTTTATGGACAGTTGCTGCACTTCAGCAGTCGCTGTAATCCAAAAGTCTCGCCGTTTCAGCACTCTTTCCCGGGATGTCCTCACACCAGCGACATTAACTCGCGCAGCTCACGTAGCCGCGGAGCAGCGAATAGCTTGGTGAGTACGTTAGCCCGCATCATCCGAAACACACGATACACCACCTTGATTACGCCTTTCTTGCTGTAACCCTTTACAATTTTTCGACGCACCACGATGTGTTTTACCCTTCCTGAGCTGTCCTCGCCGGTGATCTGTTCTAACAGCCGCCTGGTTGTCGATGTGCAGCATCATAGGGACATCCACGATTATTTTGTGGAGTTGGTAGCGAATAGTTTATTCGCTACCAACTTCGCACCCATCGAAAACGGAGCCACACTTGCTTGTTTTTTCAAATCTACTTCACTATCATTCCCTTTAGTCACAGCACGCCACCACCCGCAGACTTACGATCCTTGTGGTTTGATGCGTAGCCAGAGTCGCTGTAGCCTTCTAGTAATACTCTTCGATCTACATTATCGTCGTTCGTTCGAAACGTGAAGCTCATCGTTCCTTGAATTACTTTTTGATCCGCGGTCGCAAAGTATTTTTTGTGCGCATGTCGGCTGGCTCGATGCACAGCAAACGCGATGTCCGATGTCGTGCAGCGCGCAAGCCACAGCAGGCTTCCGATTAGCCATTGGGACGTAAATATCTTTAGTTGCTCCATCATTCCACCGCTTCCCCATAATCAATGTCATGAGATTGCTCGTTCCTGCAGGCGAACAGCCTTACCTTATACCGTTTTAGCGTGCTGTGAGCGTGGCGATTAGTTTTATATACCCATTTTAAGTGCAACATCTCTGTCCTTAAGGATTCAGCACGATTTTCTAGGTGCTGATGGTCTCATGCGACTCGATCTTTGCAGAATTTGCTTTCCGTTAATCGCCTGAGCGTGATAACTGCACCACTTCACGGTAATTCTTAAGATCCGCCATTACAGCGGTCATGATAACGGGAACAAGTTTTGTACCTGGTCACTCGTCCAATCACTGTCTACATCAATTTAACTGCCTTGGCGTCATCACCCCACACAGAACGACTTATCTCGCGACGTCATACCTCGACTGCCACGCTTCTTCGCTCCCCTTTCCACCGCTGTGCAGCTTCTTCTGCTCAGAAATATCGCGATCAATTAGTGTTGTATTAAGTCCCTTCCGCTTGCCGAATTCCTCGCGGTCCAGAACCCATTGTTCGGATGTCGGGTCTCACGTCGGAGCTGTCTATGACGTGCTGTGTACCCGCTCTCGAGAAATGTAGACCTTGTAATCCTTCGTCTCGTCGTGCTTTCCAAGGATCATGCCAGCCTTCGCCTGTAAGGGGGCTAGAACGTACCGTCACAAGCTTACACGTGCGCTTGAGCAAGACTCAAGCCCAAGTTTTCGGTATTAAGTAAATTTAACTCTGACTTTTATATTGTTTTGATTCGTACTAACCACAAAATTTGTAAGCATAAATAAATAGACCGTGTCCCCGCCTAACAGTACCTACACATTTTCGGGTTAACTTATCATTGGTCCGTAATGAGTCTTTAGGCCCCAATAACGAACCAAAAATAAATTGCCACTCTGTGCCCGCTATTCGGACACAGTATACATGCAATGTGGCCCATTACACCGCCCGAGGTTTTTTTTATCTTTATTCTCAGGCTGCGATGGACGGTACACGAGCTTTATAGAAAACGATGCTGGATTTATTGGGCGTCTTATCTGGCAGCTGATCTAGTAATTACACGCGCTTCGGATCTGTACTGCTTGGACTGCGGCTGCGAACGTATGTGGCATATCGCACCGCATCTACCCTGAAGTACAAGGGGAGGCCACTCCTAAAGATCATGCATCTTGTCATGTTCAGCACCGTGCAATAACCTTGCTCTGCCTTTCTGTTTGAGGCCTGGTTCTTGGCTGTGCTCGCTTGGTGATTTACTCCCGTAGACTTGCAGAACAGGCCAATACACTTGTACTCATCTCTTTCGTCGCTACGTAACACGTGTACCCTGTAGGCAAACAACCTCGCAGAGTGAATTTAGAAATGTTCGAACATCCTTGCAGCCTTATATACGAACACATGGAAGTAGTGAAGAAAGTGATGACGTTATTCACCATATAGCGATTCCTCATCTTCGTCATCGGCTTCATCGGCTCCTTATGGTCGCTGCAGCTAACGCCTTTCATGCGGCTGATTGGGCAGTGCTCCACAGTGTCTTGCTTAGACTAGGCGTTCTTCGCTTGTTTCTCTTGTGCGCAGGTGAGACAGTTGGGACGACTGCAATCATTTCACTGATCTCTGATTAAGATGCGTCGACAATTTTTTCAGTGGTATCGAACGTGAGGTGGCCAAATCAGATGTGGAGGTCCAAAATTACACACTTGATTTTTCCATCCCTCTCGATTGTTACGTTGTTTGTGCTCACGGCTGCAAACACTACGTCACCTCTACATGTAGATGAGGAAGTTGCCTTCGCACTCATTGTTAGTAAATAATTTTCTTGGCGTGACTTTAAACACTTTCGCAACATTGCTTGCCCGCTTGAAAAATCGTTGTCCGTTAGTATACGTCAACATTTCACCTTTCTTTTTCAAGTGAAGTACGAGAGTAAGTTTGTGCGCCAGATATTCCGCATATAATACATTGCTGACTGTGACTTGCCGTTGCTCGCCATCAAAGATCACAAGCCTGTTGGAATGTTTTGCCTTGCTAACCTTGGCCGTCGGCAACTTGCACGAGTCGTTACAGTCTTTCGCATCCACTAGCATTTCCAAGTCCACGATCAGGTGCCAGCTTGCACCACTGTCTAGGATCCATATATGCCTCAAGGTCCCATAGCCGTTCGATACATTCAGCGCAACGCCGCGTGCAGAAAGTCGACTTTATTCTTGCATCCCGCTTGATGTGAAAAACCTCGTTTTTGTAACAACGCTTCAAACTATTTGGCGCCACCGTATTTGCTTCGATCCTGATGCCACCACGACCATACCCGCGGTCGTTAGTGGGGTTTCTTGCCCCACTGTATACGTTCGCCAATATGCTTGCGAAATTCACTAGTCCCATGCTTGTCTTATATGATCTTCACAACGCCTATCCAGACGATTATATATCGCGTGTCTCGTCACTGACGTCGCCCCTCGCAGATATACTGCAGCCCAAACTGATAGAGGCAATCTGCTTCCCCCGCTACCGCAACCAGATGCTAATATTGGTAAATTTATGTCCTTGTTTGCAAGCTCCTGTGGTGAAGTGCTGTTTTTGCGATATGGGGACCCCAGAATCCAGTTGGATTCGGAGTATTGACCGTGGGTCAGGGATAATAGACCAGAGAGACAGGGGCCTCGAGGGGGTGCGACCGTTGGCAAAGAACAATCTGCAGGACCCACAGAAGAAAAATCAGCATCAGGGTACCGGTTAAACGGTACCGAAGGGAGTTGACCATGGCCCTTCATTGATCGACCCGGCCCTTCGTTAGTAGGCCTGGGGCCCTCATTGGTAGACCTGGGTCCCTCGTTGACCCGATCCCTCATCAGTTGACCCGATCCTTCATTAGTCGACCCGGCCCCTCGTTAATAGACCTGGGTCCCTCGTTGGTAGACCTGGGTCCCTCGTCAGTCGACCCTGTCCCTCATTGGTAGACCTGGGTTCCTCGTTGGTCGACCCGATCCCTCATCAGTTGACCCGATCCTTCATTTGTCGGCCCGGTCCCTCGTTGGTAGACCTGGGTCCCTCGTTGGTAGACCTGGGCCTCTCGTCAGTCGACCCATCCTCGTTGGTAGACCTGGATCCATCGTCGGTATACCAGTCCCTCATTGGTAGACCTGGGTCCCTCGTTGGTCGACCCGATCCCATGTTGGTAGACCTGGGTCCCTCATTGGTCGGCCTCGGCCCCTCGGGGTTCAGCCACTCCAGACCAGTTAACACAAGGATCAGACTAGTCGACGCAAGGAATCAGAGCTTCAGGCAAGGATAGAGTAAAGGAGATAAAAGGATAGGACTATATTAAATACTACTCAATTTGCGATCTACTTGGCAAGTCTTCGTCGCGGTGTAAAGGAACTCTAGTCTGGCCACACGCCTGTTCCGGAGAAGGGATATATTTGGCCCCCCCGTTGAAGACAGGCGTGTTGTCAGACACAAGTGCGAGCTGAACCCCACGTGGCACGACTCCGTCACCCAAGAAGAACTTGCTCTAAGCTACTCACTGTTCCAAGAAGGGATATATTTTGGCCCCTCGTCGAAGACAGTTGTGTAGCGAAGTGTGGTGGAGTGGATTCTCAAACAACGTAGGAGATTCACAAACACACACAGCGCCGGACTGCCGACTTACGGAGGGGGTACCCCGATACCGTGTCGTATTGGCCTTGGGTCTCACCTTGTGTACCCGTCGGCTTGGCTGGTCTTGCTCCTCGGTTGACGCAGAAGACTTAAAGACTTGGTCTTTGTATAGGACTTGGACTTGGTGGTCCCCGAGTGGATATACTTCACTTGGGACCGGGTTTCTTGGGCTCAATCGACTTAGTCGAGAGCGATGCACCTGGTACTATGTACCCCTTTGGTGGCTGACTGTTCTTGGTCCTTGGACCCCTTTGTGTTCTTCCCCGTAGGGAAACCGCTTCCTGTAGCGGGTCGTAGAGTGTTGACACTACCTCAG